AACTCTAGGAGATAGTGAAGGACAGAGGAGCCTGGCATGCTTCAGTCCATGGGGTCGTAAGGAGTTGGACAGGACTTAGTGACTGAACAGTTCTGATACATGTTTATTCTGTTTATATATGTTTATTCTGATTTTCCAGTCATAAGTATCAGTAAGGTGTCCTTTTCTCTGTGTTAGAATAGCTGAGGAGTCAGCGTTGGTCTTCGGCAGATGGGCCACCTGGGCTCTCAGTGTTCACGTTGTGAATAGTTCTGCAGGGAGCCTTTCTGCGCAGATCTTTGTGCGCACACAGCTTCACTTCTTGGATCAACACCCAGGACTGGAATTGTGGGGCCATGAGTAGCTGTATTTGTAACTTTATAAGAAACTGTTGAGTAGTTTTCCAGAGTGGTTACACCATTTTAAATGCCCACTTGCAGCATGCGTGAGTTGTTGGCTCTGTATCATTAACATCTTCTGTTGTCAGCCATTAAAATTTTAATCATCCTAATGGGTATGAAGTAATAACTCATTGTGGTTTTAGTTTATATTTCCCTGATGACTAGGGATGTTGAGCACGTCTCCAGTTCCTTTTTGAAGTGTGTGTTCAGATCTTTTGCCTGGTTTTCAGCTGGGTTGGTGGGTTGTTATTTATTTGCAGTTCTTTATATTTCTGAATTTAAGTCCATTGTCAGATACAGGTATTGCAAGTGTTTTCCCCTATATGTAGCATGAATTTTTATTTTTTTATTGTCTCTTTCGATGAACAGAATTTTTCAGTTTTGATAAAGTTCAACTGTAAATTTTAATGTTTAGTTAAGAATGGGTGGGGGGGAGGCAAAGGAGACTTCCCTCATCATTAAGATATTATTCTGTGTGTTTTCCTGGAAAACTTACAGGTCTATATTTTATATTCGATTTTGAGGTCCATCTCAGGTTATTTTTATATGTGGTGTGAGGTAGGGGTCTCTCCCATGGACTTCTAAGAGTTCCACATCCGTTGCTGGAAAGACTATTTTCCCCAGTTGAATTGCCTTGACACATTTACTTGATTGTTCATATGTGTGCAGTCTCCTCCAGTGCTGTTTTAATTCTGAAAATGTGAACTCTCTTTCACAGTTAATGTCATGTTTAAATTATATGAGCATCTCTCTCCACTACATTAATGAAAACACTGGACAAAAAAAAGGAAAATCTAACCCAGGCAGCTGAACTGGAGACCTTGCCTGACCGTCCTGTTCAGTGTTGAAGCCTGCCCCCGTACGCCCCTCCCCAGTGCCCCTGGCTCACCCCCGTTCCCCGCTTTCTGTGAGGGTCGGGTGGGGGCCTGGCAGGGCCCCGGGGCAGAGGGGAGGAAAGGCAGGCTTGGGGCAGGGCCCTTGCCGGGGACCCAGGTGTTTCCCAAATAGATAGAAAGTTGATGCTTTACCAGGAAATAGCCCTCATTCTGCCATGAATCCTCAAGACAGCAGATCAAGTTACTGTCGCTAATTTTCCCAATAAATGTGCTGCTCTCTGTGAGCTATTATTATAATATTAAAAGTGATGAAACAGGAAACTAACAGGGCAACGAGTGACGTGAGTTTTCCTCGTCTTATTTCCGTGGTTGCGTTCTCAGGAGCTCTCTCCCCGTAGAAACATCTGTAAGATTTGTTCTGTGCAATGGTTTGTCAGTTGGGCACTCCGTTTTTAAGGTCATTCAAGAAAAAATAGACTGTATCAGTTGTGTGATTGCTTCCTCCTAACCGCCAGAAGAGTCTGTAAGATTGCTGCGGTCTGCTGCGGGCTTGGCTTCGCGTGTTTCAGACGCCAACAGCTCAGTCAGCGCAGAGCCCGCAGCTGCCCTCTTGCGGAGCGTGTCCTGTTCTCAGCGCCGTCTCCAGCACACGCTGAGGTGGATGCCAGTCGGCCGCAGCGGCTCTTGCTTTGCAGGTGTTCCTTGCGCACGGGTGCCAGCTCCCCGGCAGCCCCAGGGCTGGGGGATGACATGCCTGCCTCCTCCCCCGCCCTTCTCTGTCCGCCGTGCGTGTCCACCACGCGCTGTGCCCGGAGGAGGTGCTGGGGACAGGCCACACGGGGTGCAGCCATGCATCCCCACGGGGCACGGCTCCCAGGTGTGGGGGTGTGCGGTCAACATGTCCGTAGCTGGTGAGCCTGACCCACCGTAGAAGCGTCTCTGAAGCAGCTGACCCTGTGGAGGCGGTGTTTGCCATGTAGCCATCACAGTTCAGTGCTCAGCCCACCAGCGATGAGGTTCATCCAGCAGGGCTGTGATCACGGGCACCCAGGTGGGTGCTCGTGAGGAGAGGTGGGGCCCGCAGCCGCGGTGCCCAGGTACCCTGGTCTCGTGGGGACCAGGCTGGGTGAGGTGACGGCCGTGTGCAGCGGGCTCAGGACGAGCAGCCCCTCCCCCTGGTGGCAGCATCCAGTCTGATCCTGAAGCAGGCATGGCCGGTACGTGTGGAAACGGACCGCCCTGGGGACCTTCACCCACCCCAAACTTGGTCTTATTTATGGGTGATTCCAAACAACAGAAGCATCCGTCCCAGACAGACAGGAAACCGTAAGCGGGGGAAAGCTGGCCTCCTTGTCACCTCAGGACGTGTCCCTCTGGGGACATACTGGGGACCCTCCAGGTAGGAACGTGGTGGGGACTGGGTGCCTCTGGTGAGCTCCAGTGGAAGACTGTCAGTCCGTCCAGGCTGCCTCATGAAACACCCCAGATGGGGCAGCTTTAAATGACAAACCCGATTTCTCAGCACCATAGCAGCCGGCAAGTCCAGATCAGCTGTCTGGAGGAGTCCCCCTGTCCACTGCTCGTGCCCCTTGCTGCACCCTCCCTGAGCAGAAGGGACGTGGGTTTCTGTGGGTACCAACTCCACTGTGGAGGGCCCCACCTCCTGCCCTGAGCACCCAGCTGCTCAGCATCGCCTTTGAGGGGTGGGTTTCAACATCCGGACCACAGGGGCACACAGACATTCAGACAGCAGCATGGAGGCGAGGCACCTCGGAGACTGGATTGTGAGAGCAGACTGGTTCACCTGCTGAACAGGTGAACGTGGCAGGACGGTATCCACATAGCGGGGCTCAGTTCTTTCTGGAAGTTTTTGGAAGTCAAGTTGCAATCAGCCACAGTTTATACCAATTGAGATACAACTCAGTCATTAAACTTTACACATTTTATTGCTGTTCCTATGACAGGAGTATCTTCTAAATGTTCTTTTTAGTAGGCCATTGAATCTTTCTTACTTTATGGAGCAGTAAGAAATGCATGAAGGAATTTGAATTTAGAGGGGTTGTTGTGCATGTGTATTTGGGCACTGGCATTTAGAGTCTATAAAATCAATTGGCAGTGAAGGTTTTATTTGCATGTGAGGACCTCAGCTAGATCACCATGCAGCTCTTTGCTAGATGTACTGGAGTACGCCCATGGGGCAGAAATGGGCCAGACAGCAGTGAATCAGAAGTGTTTGTGTGCCACTCTCCTGAGGATTTTAATGTCCATAAAATACCTGTGTATAGAATGGAGAAGCAAAAACATTAGAAAAGTAAAACAGGCCCACGTCATAGTTATTCTTTTTTTATAGGAGCAAAGCAGTCACTGTTTACTGAGGTGTATTTTTGGGTTAAGAACTGTTGTCAAAGCTCCTGTTGCCTGCACTGCCCAGCTCTTTGCCGAGGTCTGAGGGCAGCTGCAGGGCGCGCTTGGCCGCCTCTGGCGCTCTCTGCTTCTGAGCCTCCCTTTCATATGTAGCCAAGTGAAATGTAAACTCTGTGGATGCCGGAGGCCTTGCCCAGGAAGCAGTTTGGGAAGGCAGCCGAAGGTCTGGGGGCCAGGCAAGGCTGCAACCCCCAGCCTTTCCAGGAGGTGCCCGAGGGGCCCCTGTGGCTCCCAGCTCTCGGGATGGTTTTTGCACAGGGAAGATGCAGTCTTGCTTGCTTTTCAATCACTTTACTCTTTATACTTCATTGTCTGCAGTCTGTGAGGCTCAGCCTCTTAAAGATCAGTGAACTTTGCTGGGTTTGAAGTCAGGGTGAGAATCATTTTATTTAGTACAGGAAGTTTTCTTTGGGGAAGTCTGACCCAAACTGACTTTTCAGTCTCTTGGAATTTAATTGAATCAGCCCAGTGGAGCAGGACAGGGCCGCGGCCCAACGTCCGCTGGTCGGTTAGAGTGTCGTTGACCCCGGTTGCCTTCTCCAGGGTTCCTGGTCACTGAGAGAACCCAACATGCAGGGCAGTGTGTTTCCGGTTGCAGGCACCAGGGTATAACCAGGCTGTTGCCTGAAGTTTACTCCTGCCACTCACTGTGTTAAGAGTGTTGGGTGATCTTTGTTGTTCACTCAGTCGTGTCCGACTCTTTTCAACCCCATGGACTGCAGCATGCCAGGCTTCTGTGTCCTTCACCATCTCCTGGAGCTTGCTCAAACTCATGTCCATTGAATCAGTGATGCCGTCCAACCATCTCCTCCTCTGTCATCCCCTTCTCCTGCCTTCAGTCTTTCCCAGCATCAGGGTCTTTTTCTCTTGAGTTGGCTCTTCATGTCAGTTGGCCGAAGGTTTGGAGCTTAAACTTCAGCATCAGTCCTTCCAACAAATATTCAGGGTTGATTTCCTTTAGGATTGACCTCCTTGCAGCCTTTGGCTCTCAGCCTTCTCTTTGGTGCAGTTAATATCAGAATTTAAGTTTTTAATGAGTTTTTTAATTTTATGCCAGCAAGCCAGACTTAGCAGTACTTCCACGTCCTTAAAAACCGTGAATAGGGTGGAGGTCTGACTAAAGTAGCCTTAGGAACCGAACGCCGTCTCGGGGCCGGGAGTGGTCTGCTATTCTTTCCTCGTGTGACATGATTTTGTTTGCTCTTGGTGACACACACACACAGGCAGTTTTTTATGTGGGTTTGTCTTCCTAAGACAAAGTGTGTGTTTGATCTGGACTTATTAACAACCACAGTGAAACAGTTGAGTTTTCAGACATTTTGGGACAGTTCTTTCATTGAAACTCCCCTCTTTCCTTCAGGGAATACCTCAGTTACCATGTGCCAAAGCGTTATACAACTACGAAGGCAAGGAGCCCGGGGACCTTAAGTTCAGCAAAGGCGACATCATTGTCCTGCGGCGGCAGGTGGATGAGAACTGGTGCCACGGCGAGGTTGGCGGGGTCCACGGCTTCTTCCCCACCAGCTTCGTGCAGATCATCAAGCCGTTACCTCAGCCCCCGCCCCAGTGCAAAGCACTTTATGACTTTGAAGTTAAAGACAAGGAAGCTGACAAAGACTGCCTTCCATTTGCAAAGGTAAAGTTAGAACACATTGCCTTCTTTTTGCCAGCTCTTCTGTGTACTTGCATGTGTGAACTCTGGCCTGTGCAAAAACATACAATAGTTTTATGTGAACTCTCTCTCTCTGTGCTTCTAAAAATATCTGGAAGCAGACTTCTCAGATCAGAAAGACAGTAATTTTGTGCACAGAGTGTTCCCTATGAAAGATAATTTTGGTTGATGCTCTGTATGGTATCATTTTCATATTTTGGGCCTAAATGTAATTCTAAGCTATGTTTTTGGGTGGGTGCATGCCACTCGGGGATTTTAATTCCCTGAATTATGAATAACAAAATGAAGTATCTTTACTTCTTTGTTTTATATGTAAATTTCTTTGCTGAAAAGCATACCAGTCTGTATCTATTGAATTGATAAAATGCTTTGGGATTTTGACCAGAATGTTGTGTTTTTTCAGTAAAGAAAAACAGTAGGATGTACCTTTAAATGGGCTTTTAAGCCCATTAAGGGAGAGGAGGTGAACAGAGCCTGAGAGGCCACCTCGAACAGGAGTTCAGGGCGTGGGTGGGGTGGCAGGTGCCAACAGGCTGCTCGTTTACAGCTGTCTGGCCTGGTGCCGTTCGGTTCATCACCTCCTGTGGTCACATCCTACAGGCATGGCATCTTAATTCATGTGCTCTTACAACTTGAGTCTCCTGTTAAAAAGAGAATCAGGTGGCGCACTTCCTAGGGTCAGGTGGAGTAATGTCCGTTGATGTCTCTTTAGGACGACGTTCTAACTGTGATCCGCAGAGTGGATGAAAACTGGGCTGAAGGCATGCTGGCAGACAAAATAGGAATATTCCCAATTTCATATGTTGAGGTGAGTCAGTGTGTGGAAGCGTCAATCGTGGTAGTATTCTGCTTAGCAGACCAGTCTTAAGTGTGCAGGGTGAGCATTCAGAAGTCCTCATGATCATTTCTCAGTATACACACACACATTGCCTCCCTGTCGCACACCTTAAGTGATACAGTGTTGCATGTCCCTTTCTTGGATAAAACTAGGGAACAAAGAAAGACAAAAACCTAGTCCACTTAAGAAAAAAAAAGCCCTTGTAGCAGAAAGCCCCAGGAATGCCCTTGTTCTAGATTGTGGGATGGAATTCCTCCATCCTGCGCCACAGCTCCTGAGGACCAGGGGACTATGAGATGTTTGAGCTCTGTACTTTGTCCCCTGTTAAGAACATTGGCATGTCTGTCGAGTGGGATCCTGAGCTGCCTGCAGTTTTGGGGTCAGAGGCTGGTGAGGTCCTGACTAAGGTGGGAGATGCATGTATCTGTGTGTTTATGTGCCACACCTCAGAACTCAAACACTGATTTGCAGGGTAGCCTCCAGTCAGCATTAAATAAGCGATGAACTGTCCACACTTCATCCCAGCAGTCAGTTAGCCACCCTCCCCACTTTAATCAGCTTTATTCAGAAACATACAGCCAATCCTCAGTAAAGTCTCTTTAGGAGTATGTATAAAGTAATATGTTGTATTAAAGAATAAATGAACTAAATTAAAAATGAACTAGGAAGTTATAATTTACAGTAGGCCTTGTAACATCATGGGCTTCCCCGGTGGTAAAGAGTCTGCCTGCAGTGCGGAGACCGAGGTTCAGTCCCTGGGCTGGGACAATTCCCTGGAGAAGGAAACAACCCACTCCAGTATTCTTGCCTGGTGAATCCCATGAACAGAGAGGAACCTGGCATGCTGCAGTCCATGGGGTCACACAGAGTCGGACATGACTGAATGACTTCACTTTCACTTTATAGCATCATGTATAATAAAGTTTCATGTCCTTTAGTCATAAGAATTTTATACAAAAAACAAAGGGGTATTTATATATAGTTATGGCTGATCTGCATTGTTGCATGGCAGAAACCAACACAAAATTGTAAGCAATTTTCCATCAATTAAAAAATAAACAAAATTTAAAGAAAATAATTTAATGCCAAAAACAAAGTCGAAGACATTTCAGAGACTAAAACACCAGCCCAGACAACCCTGCAAGGTTAGCTGAGATCCCAGAAGGCTTCTGGGAAGCAGCGAGTTCTTAGCGACGTCTCTGTGGTGGGTAGATGGCGCTTCACCAAGAAAATGGAAAAGATGCCTTTTTACAGCAGAAAGGACAGTCACACGGGACGACCAGCGTGTGCACAGGCCAGAAAGTAAGAGGCGCATAGGCTGTTTGGGAAACTGAAGGTAATCCTGTTTTTGAGATGTCAAGGCATGTATCTTAAGCATGTAACAAAGTAAAACCACGTCACTTTTGTCCCTGCCTTTTCACCTGAGGCATTTGTTTTGACATGATCCTGAGAACAAAAATAACAAATTGTGTCATTAGAGCCAGCGTTCAGTCTCCCCCATAGACAGTGAGATGGCCCTCGTTTCCATAAAAAATTACTGTGACTACCATACACCCATGGAAAGGTAACTCAGACTGTGTACACACCTTGAGTTTTATTCGTATCCTTCAGATGTTCCTGTTTATTTTTTCCTTCTTTGGAATAAAGAACAGAGGAAGTCCTCAGCGCTCAGGTGACCCTTCCTGTACACTGTTAACATTCTAATGTGGTCAGGGAAAGTCGCACGCATTTCCGGGTGTTTGGATGCTTACTCGCAGGAGCGTGGGTACACGAGCTTAGTAATGAGCCTGTCTCCACCTGTGTGAGCTGAGCTACAAGCCAGCTCTTGGCGTGCAAGTGCTGGCCTCCACTCCAGGCAGGTGTGCAGGAGGACTGCCGTGCTTTTGTTACCAGGTGGGTGTAGAGTTGCGTGATGGGCATGAATGATCCACCCACAGCAAACCCCGAGTCAGAGAGTCATTTGAGTCATGGGGATTATTTACTCTGACTTCAGTTGGGAAGATAAACGTCTGCCCAGGTGGAAAGTACTTGCATTCTCCTGCCTCTTGATTTCACAAGAGTAGTTTCCTCATTTGAACCACAGTTTTGCCAGTTGAGACGAGTGAAAGATCATCTCTCTTGGGGGGAGGGTGGGGACTGGGAGCTTGTCGTTGATATCTGGCCATTGGATGGACATTGCTGGCACCTGGAGATTGGCATGGAGTTCAGCCTTTAGGTGAGGAGGTGGGTAGATTTCAGTAGCAACCTACAAAATTCAACTGTTCAAGTAAAGCACAGGTGACTGTGCAGGGCAGCTTCGCATGGAGTGAAGCCAGCTAATGTTGGGAATCACAAACTGGGACTCTTTCCTGAGTATTGTCTTTCTCTTGCTCCATAAACCCCTTCAGGGCTCAGACTGTCCCTGCTATAAAAACAGACAATGTTACAGAAACCCAGTTGTAAATTATTTTCTTATATCTTGTAGACAGACATTTAGGTCTCCACCATGTTAGGTGCCTCTGATTTTTGCACGGTGCTGCCCCAAACTCTCCCCTGAGGATCAAGCAGGAACGTGTGATGATGTGTCTCAGGGGCCTGACCCCGCTGTGGCCTGTGCACCGCGGCCCAGAGCTCAGGCCAGACGTGACCCAGAGGACAGCCGCACGGTCCTTGAGGGCCCCAGTGTCCCATCCCCCGAGGACGTCAGCTCAGGGCCAGGTCCCCAGAGCGGTAGCCGGGCCGTCTCAGCCTCACCAGCAGGGCTGGAAGCCCAAGTCCTGTTGGGCGGCTGGTCTGCAGAGATGCCCACGGGTGGGGCTTGCCTGTGGCAGCAGCTCTGACCAGGATGGCCGGGGTGGGGGGCGGGCCTGCAGCAGGATCTTGGGCCCGAGTCAGGAGCTCAGCATCAGCAGTGGGTGAGGAGAGAGCTGCGTGGGAAACCCAGGGTGTTAGAGGCGCTGCCGGGGTGCTTCCCCTCCCGTGACCCGTGCCCCCACCCCTTCCTCCGTCTCCTGTCTCAATCCCACCCCGCCCCGGCACCAGGACTGTGTATCCTGCTCCTGACCTGTGTCACAGGAGGTGACAAAAGACCTCTGATTAAAGTACCAGAATCTTCAGGGTTTGAACAGGAGAGGCTGGTGGGAGGTGAGCAGGAAGAGAATGGCCGTGTCAATGTCCTTGAATTCTGCCCCTCAGCTCTCTGTGAAGAGGAGGGGTCTTTGCCTTGATCACATCATACCCCCGCTGGAGACTTGCCGATTGGAGCCTCGAGGCTGTGGATTCTGCTGTTGGATGGATCTTCCTGGACGTGGGAAACTAGGAAGGAAGGACGATAGACGTTCCCTGGGGAAACCCAGGGGACTCTTGGAGAAACCACATCAAGATATGTGTAAAAGGCTGTGTTTGTCGAGGACTGAATGTGGTTTCAGAAGAAACCAGTAGCTTGCTACTTTCTTTGTTCAGAAATACTAGGCTCCTCCAAAACCGCATGGAAGATTTTAACACCCTCATTAATTCAGAGCTGACTCACTCACATTTCAGGGTCATTTGGACAAAGATGACATGACTCTTGGCATGCCAAAAGTTGGGATGAAGTAAGTGCTAAATATGGCATTTTGGATGATACTCAAGCATTGTTGTGTACTGTGGGCTTATGAGCTATACATTTTTATTAAATCTAGTCATTCATATAAACTATCATCCAGTTTTTCCAACAAAAAAAATTCAGCAGCTCTGCTGCAGCTGGAATATAAAAGTGGAGGTGGCCTGAAGTGGGCGTGGCCTGTGGACTGCAGTCTTGTTCTGTGGTTGGTGCTGGCGGGGGCGGGGTGGTGTTGGGGCCCGGATCCCTCAGATCTCTGCCCGGTGACCCCTCTGCGGGCACACCTGCCCTCAGCGCCTCGTGCAGAGTGATTCTTCCTCTGCAGCTGCCCTGCCTCACACACGGGGCACGGTGGTCCTGGGAGAACTTGGACTCTGAGCCCGGAGGCCCAGGATCCCAGTCCTGGCTGGACCAGCGGTTGTGGGTTGACTGTGTCCTCGCCTGTAAAACAGAGCCGCGGGGCGAGCGGGGCTGGCAGCGCTGCGCAGTGCCCGCGCCTGTGAGAGGTGGTGCTGCGGGGTGACTGCAGCCGTCAGCGCTGCGCTTGCAGTTTCTGCACCGCGCAGTGTCCCCTGTCTGTGTCTCCTCTGAGGGCGTTGCCCTCTGCCCCAGGCTCCCCTTGGTGGGACTTGCTCCTGGGCCCAGCGTCGTTCCCTCTGGCTCACCTGGGCTCCCGCACACAGCGCTACTCCTGGTCATCTCACTGAACGCTGGTTGAGTGGGCAGCCTGAGGACCTGGTGAGCCGACACCTGCAACAGACTGGACTTGGACGTTGCTGACGTTCACCTCTTTCAGCGAGCACTGACATTCTGTCGCCGGCTTATCTTGGTGTTACATGCGGACACCACCATCCTCGAAGCACAGAGTCTCTCCAGTGACTCCTGGAAGTTCTCTGTTTTTTAGTTTGTGTTTTAACGAAGCTGGATGCGTGCTTGGTTAGGCCTAGTTTAGACTTTTCCAGACTAGGGTAGCAGCATTGACAGCTGTGGATTAGACCCTGGAGCCTCTCCAGGTGGTCTCCCTCATTGTTTGTGAGATGAATTCTCACCTGCTTGGTACTATTCCTTTGGCCCACTTTGAGCAGAAGTCAGGTGGCCTAACTGTTGAGAATCCTCATTTTTCTAAAGTAACTTTATGGAGTTATCAGTGACACACAGCAAACCACACATGTTAACGGTGTAATGATTAGGTGGTGTTTGTTGTTTTGAACTTTCAGAATCGGCTTGTAGACAAATCTTGGGAGATATTCCTGTGGCCAGAGAACAGAAGTGTGTCATCAGCCCTGGTTATGGAAAACCACACGTGTATCTCCAGGAGCATAGGTGCAGCTTTCAGGGGAGTGAGAGCTGTGGACGTAGGGGCTTGGGAAATGTTGTCCATGTTCTAGGG